TGGTAAGATCTAGCCATGAATCCCTCTCTTTCACCTTGATTTAGGTTGGGTTTACCTTAATTGCTTTATTCCCTTCCAATTTCTGGTAGAGCCGTGAGTTTCCCCCTGTACTGCCGCCGGTCTTTCCCCAACTGTAGCTCCGGTTTTTGGCTGGATTTCTTGGTATGTTGACAACCCTTTAAGTCTGAAATTACCCATTTAATTGTTGGGTTTTGTCCATTAGGTGCTGTCCTGTGCTTGCCCGAATTTTGCTAAAATGGGGGAGGAATTTTCGGTAGCATGTGGCAGTAAATTAAATGTGTTTTTGTGCTCGGTTTATGTAGAATTAGCTTAATTTGATTGTTGTGAGGTTAATTGTGTGAAACCCCGTGAATTAGCTATGTTTTGCCAATTTTGGGAGTTGAAGTTACTGTTCACGGTACTGTTCATAGGCACTGTTCACACACCGAGGGCCAACAATTAACGGGGATTTAAATGATTAGTTTGTGATATAAGAATAAATGTGGAGATTGATAGAAATAGCACTGTGACCAGGGGTAGTGCTAAAGATGATTTCATTGTAAAATTGTGGTGGTATGGTTATTAATTGTGGAATATTGTGATTAGGTTTTGATCGTTCTGTCACCGTAGTACTTGGGTTAGCCTTCTGTTCTGTGCAAGTGAGGTAAGTAAATTATGGTAAAGCCCTTCGATTTTAAAGCATGTTTTAATTGTTTTTGAGATGGTGGCAAGGTTTAAATTGATTCTAAATTGATTTTATCAGCATCTGAATGTGATTAAACTGAAATGGAAATTGTGATGGTTTTTATGAGAATTTCACTATTTTTCTAGAATTGAGCATGATTGGGGTGAAAATGGGAATTTCATTGTTTTCTGGAATTGAGCATGATTGAAATGAAAAGTGAGAATTTCATTGTTTTTCTGGAGTTATTGCACCGAGCATGATTGGTTTGAAATGAAACTGTTTTCATTGGTATTGAGTAGAGCATGCCTATTTGGAATTGACTGAACTGTTTTGATGAACTGAGAGTTTACAAATTCTGAGTTTTCTGATAAATCTATGCCCACATGGATTTTTCTGGTTATTTCTGAAATTGGGATTGATTGTGAAATTCGGGTTCTCTGTAAACTTTGCATGGTTTTGTCTCGGATATAGTCATGATTACTAATTACTGTGCCCGCTAGCGGGAGGTTTATAAACGCTAGCACATGTCGACATGTATTTCTGTAGAACCGGTTCACCCTACCAATGGGGGTTAAACATTGGTAATTACTGTCGCCTGCCAGTGGGAGTTGTAAACACTGGCACCATTACTGTCGCCTGCCAGTGGGAGTTGTTAAACACTGGCACTTCTGTAACCTTGCCTATGGGGTTAAACATTGGCAACTACTGTGCCCGCCAGTGGGAGGTTTATAAATGCTGGCCATGACTTATAGATGAGACTACTGAACTGAGTTTTATTCTGCATGAACAGTTTGTCATGAAGGCTTTGATATTGAACTGAATCTGATTCTGTTTTAATGGTTTGTCATGAAACGTTTTGTTATTGAACTGAATTTGATTCTGTTTTAACGGTTTATCATTGAAAGTTCTGTTATGCTTACATGGTTTGTCTGGCATGTTTAAAAGTTTTACCCAAGGGCTATCCATATTTACTTACTAAGTTATCTCATAGTTTTCCTTGTCCACCATTTCAGGAAACGAAACTAAGGACGGGGAAATCGAGGGGAGTGACGAGTTAGAAGGCTA